ATGGTGTTGTTTCGATTAAATCTAAGAATTTAACTGTACGTAATAGTATACATACATTTCGATTTTCTATAAAAAAATCTTAAAAAAAAAATTAATGGTATCCAATTTCAATTTGCATATTTGGATGTGGACCTAACTTACAATTAAGTTTAATGATATCCAATTTCGATTTGCATATTTGGATGTGGACCTAACTTATGTACAATATTAAGTAATTATACAAGGATATAATTTATAAAGAATGGACTTATATTTAATTCTAGTCAGGAGTAAACCTAAGGATATAATTTATAAAGAATGAACTTATATTTAATTCTAGTCAGGAGTAAACCTAAGTTCTAACTTTGACAAGATACAAAAGATTTTGTTCTACTCTTTGATCCAACTGAAATGTCACATCCAAGTAACCATTGACTTGTCTCCAAGTAGCACTCACGAAATGAATTGCAGCACATAATCTACTACTTTTACACTAGGATGAGTTCATGGGATTGGGATCTGCAACTCATAGTTGCAATTGTTGGGCTTATTTACAACCACAATTTCAACTAAATGGCCCAATAAGTTCTCTGCACTTTCTTATTTCCAGGCCTAACTGAAAATAGAAAGCCCACCTCACTTTGCGGGCTAGGTTTCGTTCACGCTTACTTTTGCAAAACGTTTATGAGAATACGATAGTTAAAGTAAAATGAGGAATTTACACCCCTTACTCTCATATATAATTTATATTACACTTATATACCCATTATATTCTTATTTATAAAATTACTAAATCAAGGTAAAAATATTACAATTATACCTGAGATCCTTCAATGGAATTTAGATCCCTAATTTCGGGAATATTAAATGGAATTTAAATCCTTAATTAACCTAAACCCAAAAATCTCAACAAATCTTCTTCCCTCTCCTTTCTGTCTCAACAGATCGTCCTCTTTCTCCGCTCAACTTTCTTCTCAACAATGGCGGCTCAAAGAGATTCCTCTGATCCGCCTTCTCCGCTCAACACTATCTTGGAGGATTTAAATTGCTGGGAGGATTTTTAAGAAGAGGTGCGCCAAGAGAGGAGTTTAATTAGTTGGGAGCACTTTTAATTATTTGGGAAAAAAAAAAACACGTAGCAGTAGCACTGGAGGGGCTGGGAATTTATTTGCCAGGGGAGTCTATGCTTATTGTTCTCGTTTTGTTCTCAACAGATCGTCCTCCTTTTGTTTTAGTGAAATTTTTTTATATGACTGTGTTTGTAACAAAGAACTTTACAAACAATGGCGGCTCAACTTTCCCCCTCGCCCCGCACTCACTGTCCGCGCCACCGCCACCTCCTCCGATCCCCTTTCCGCCCCTCGCTCAAGCCGTCGCCCCGCGGACGAGACACCCGCGGCCAAACCAGACCTCCGTAGATCCAAAATTGAAAAGCAATTTTTGAATTTCAAGAATTTTTGGACTGTGTGAAGAGGGTAAAATTAAGGAAGAAGAATTAGGGAGAAAGGTGGGTCTGCGATAGAGGAGAAGAGAAAAAGGAGAGAAGGGGAAANTTTTTTTTGTATATGTATGGTTTATATTCAGTATATTTTCGGTATATGATAAAGAAATTTATCGCGAGACATAATTTTTATGTATAAAATCAATTATATTTAGCATAAACTGATTGCAACATATACGGAATATATACTACATAAACGCAATATATACCACTTGACAACAACGTGAATTAAAGAATTTTAGTTGCGCACATATACTGAATATATACTAACATAAACCCAATATATAACCACCTGACAGCGGCGTGAATTAAGGAATTCCAATTGCGCGAATTAAGGAATTAAAATGAGTAAGTTATTTATTTTCATTCTCTCTCTTATGAGTCAACTGTTTTTGTATGGTAACTGAAATCAAGTAAATCTACAATTAATTTAATAGTTTTAGGTACATATGCAATTAAACTTATAATAGCTGCAAAATCACAAATAAATCTAAATCTGGTAGGATAGATGAAAATTTCCCAATATACACAATTACAAAAATCGTTTATTGACAAATTACAAATTAAAATATAATATAATATAGAAAGTAATGATAAAAATAAATTACAAATCATCTATTAAGAAACGATGAACTCAAAAAACTTTGTAAATACACAAATAAAACATAATTTTGTAGATTAACGCGTAATTGTCTATTTACTTTGCATAGAAAATATGGTCAAATTTTCTATGTATATATAATAAGAATAATCATTTACCAAAAATAGTAGTCAAAATTTTTGGGAGCATTTAATGCATACTTTTTTTATTGGAAACTTTTTAAATATGCATATGCATTAATTATTTCCATATACACGTTTTCAAATAAAATCAAATCAGATATGATAAAAAATATTATTTCCTTAAATAACTTTATTAATATCTGCAATAATTTCATTGATATCCATTATAATATGTGTGGGGTATAGACCGAACGGATAGAAAACTAAATTAAATAAAGGGTCTATTCGGGTTCGCGTGGATAAACATGAAGGAGCGACCGCAGGGGGACCGAATACGGACGGCGAACGAGCGAATTAGGAGTGGCGTGTTGAGTTAATCATTATCTAGATTTACCCGTACGATACTCATTAAATGCTGGGGATTAGGTAATCTTCCATCTAAGGGTGTCAAACAAGCTAAGACACGTGTCGCGACCCGGTTTAATTACTTATATTGAGATGAGATTATGTAGTACAATGCATTAAATGTGGTATGACTAAATATCAATAGAATATCTTGTAAAAGAAAATAGAAAATAGAAATCTCAAAATAAGCCCTCACATTTCCTATATAAAAAAGAAGAGACAACATTAAATGCAATGAGTAAATGCTCTCACTAATGATATAAAAAGTCACGGATAGACTCACCATTTATACCGAATTCCATATAAAGCTCTATTCGTGCAGACCGAACCGAGTATACATTTTAGTATACAGTTCGAACACATTGTTGGTCATATTTTAGACATCAACATAATAAATTACAAGATTGATGTTTCGTGATTCATGTTGATAATATTTTTGTCAAGATAAATATTACAACATATTTTAAGTTCTAACCATAATAATACTTTTTTACACAAATAATCACTTTTTATCTAAAAATATTTATAGACAATCGTAACAAGTTAGGTAGAATTTTTTTCTTTCAATTATTCAAGCGAAATCAAGATGGTGAATTAATCTTTGCCAATTTTTTTTTTCTTAAGCGTTATTTTGTTATTTATAAAAAATAAATTATTCTTCAAATTAATATAATTTATTATTCAAGAGATAATGACCAGATACATTAAATAGATTTACTAATGGTCAAAAATTAAAATTGAAATATATTAACTGTACTTTAGAATTTATTTGTATATTATTGGCAACCATGATTATTTTATTTTCATTTTATTTTCATTTCTTTCTATAATGAAATTCTTGTAAAATATCTTTTCATTGCAGAGTATGCTAAATAAACTATAAATCTTTATAATGCAAATTAGAAAAATCTAGATTATATAAGGTAATGAGTCTTTGACATTTGCTAAATCAAAGTTGTTTAATTAGTATACAAAATTAAATTCTAAAAAAAATATGTGTATATATTTTGTAATTATATTTATACACTATTTAATTTTAAATTTATTTACATATTTTAAATTGATTACATAAATAAATAATACTAACTTGCGGTAAATATTTTTCATTACATAAAAAAAAAAGACGCACAACTTTTATAAATAAAATTGACATTATATGACAATAAAGTTTACAATAAAATAATGAGTAAGTATTATATGGTCAACAAGAATAAGTGAAACTGTTATTTTCACTTATAGCAAGGAATAAATATATATACTAAAATTAAATTTATATTAGTATAAATATGTTAGTGAAATAATATATTAATTATTTTTACAAGTTAGCTCTAACATGCTCATATTTAATGTTATGGTTAAAAAAAAAACATTAAGTAAACGAAGTGAAAAATAGATTATAACTCTATTGTCTTTTATACTTAACGCTAATTAAAAGAGGTGAAAAATAAATAATAATTTTATTGCTTTTTAGAATTAAACGGACATAACCTATGAAAATAACTTATTTAATATTTGTGTCCCGTGTATCACGCGGGCTACGTACTAGTGAACTATAAATGAGAGTTCAAACAAAATATATGTGCATTTAAGTTAATTAATATTGAACCCTATGTAATGATTTTTTCTTTTAACAAAATCAAATTATTCTTTCCTTCCCAAAATACCTAACATTCAGGGCATGATTGGTTATAAATATTTCCACTAAAAATATTTTTTTTAGTTAATTATAGTTAATTTTAAGAATTATTAAAGTTAGATGTTAGTGAGATTTAAATTTTATGTTAAAATAATATATAAAATAAATAATTAAATTTAATTTGATATAAAATTACGAGAGATATGTTTACGTCAAATTAAAATTGAATTAGATAGTATGAGTGGAAAAACTTATACACAAACACCCCGTGAGCCTATTTGCATGTTCTTCAAATCAAAAAAGACATGAGATCTACTTTTAATAATATTTTGCATATTTTTGTCAGACTCCCAAACGCTCCTCCCTATATTTTAACAGTAATTATAAAGTTATGTAATTATAAAGTTATGTTTTGCTTTTAAAATATTTCAAATATATTATATGGTAGCATTGTATCAGTTGTTGTCTCCCACCCACCAATTTTAAGTCCACCGTGATAAAAGTTTTTGCCTGTGATTGTTTTGTGCCCATTTACTACAAATATCAATCAAATTAAAAAATGAAAAGTACTATGAAAAATAATATTATAGGTCATCTTTAATCACAAACTCTTTTTGTGTGGCTGTATAAATTTTATAAAGCCTGACCATGCCAACCTTCTTCCCTCCTTCGTCCAATTTCTTTTCATCACCGACTCTATTTCTTTATCTTTCTTTATTTATCGTCTTTACTCTTCGTTTGTTTCTGTCTTATATTCCTCTGTTTTTTTTTTTTCTTTCTTTTTAATCTTTCAAGCTGAGGAGCCGCGCACAAATTTCTGTACATATATTTGAGGTAAAGTATCTCCCCAGTTTTTTCAATTTTTCTATTTGCGTTATATTTGTAACGCCATTTTTTTTGGTCGAAAAATCGAGTCTAGGTAAGATATTTTTGTAAGCTCTTGATTTCTCCTAGTTTGAGTGCTATGATTTTTAGTTCTCCCGATTCAGGAGTTCTATCATATTTGCAGCTTCATTTGGAGTTTAAAAAGTGCTTTTATTTTAAATTTCATGTATGTAGCTGAAATTTCCATTTTGTGAACTTTAAGTTGTGATCTAATTTGCAGAGCTGAAAAAAAAAAAAATAAGGCTTTTGATCTTTCCTACAGATTCATGTGTAGGCTTTCTTATATATGTCCACTTAAAAATTTACTATTTTTCTGTATTATGAAGAACAAGTCAAATCATTATCTCCTCGTTTACCGGATCTTAGCTTAAAACCAATAAATAAATTAAATAATTAAACGTTTCATTTTCCTTTCTTTTTTTTGTTCTTCTTTTTTTATAATTCAACTTGCATCTTTCCAGATCCCCATCTACTTCTTGTCTTCCCAACTATTTTTTCCCCTTAATTTAATTATTTTTTGGGTCGAAATTACAGTTGAATTTCAACATCTCAAAGAGATTAAAGAAAAATGAAGCACTGCGCAATTAAACAGAATAGTTTCGGCGGCAGATCTGTGGATAAGAGAGAGACGGTGGTTTGCCCTAAGCCACGGCGGCTCAGCCTTGCCCAAGCCACCGTTGACCCTTTTCTGGCTAGGCCGTTACGCCGGCATATGAGGTTAACTTTTCGCTCATCATTTTTTATTTTTATTAATTCACTCGACTTTTAGTGTAGTTTTATTTTTTAAAATTATGATTTTTTATTAATTTTTTGTTTCGCTTTTCAAAATTCTAAATAGCCATCAGCAAGAGGATTGTGATTCAAGAGCTGGAAACGAATTACTGGACATAATCCTTACCAAGGTTTGTTTGTATTTCACTTCCTTACCCTTTTTGCTTTCTTTTTTAATCGAATTTGTGCCATTGTGTGTAATTTTTTTAGTTATCTAAGTGCATGTTTGGACTTTGGATAACAATTTTATCAAAAAAATTCATTCATTTTTAATCAATTACTTTATTTTTAACTTAAAGGTAACTCAACTTTGATTCAACATCAATATTCTCAATATTATCAATATAATTAAATAATACAACTCTATCATTTTTAGACATTACATACTTTAAATCACCATCATCCACTATCATAATTTTAACTAACTATCACTTAATATCACATTTCTCCTATTTTTACCTCAATTTAACTTTCATTATTTTATTTTAAGTAATATTTTAATATAATCTCAAAATTCCACTAACAATTAAAGATACGAATTCTGTTAAAATTAAACCATACAATCAATAAATCAATCAACAAGCCAACAAGCCGTTACAATCCTACTAAGTGGGGTCGGGTATATAGATTGCATGTCGCCAATCGTGCTTGATCAAAAAAAATATTGTCATTCAAATTTAAATATTTTAAATTATTTTTTATTATCTAATTCCAAGTTTTCTTAGGTCTAGTCATTCCCATTTTAATTTGTGTTCTTAATTCTAATGTTTCTATCCTTCTCATCGGGGTTTCGACGTCTCTCACGCACATGCCCAAACCATACAACAAAATTCAAACAAAATTAAAACATCTTATATCCAAGCATCCCCTAAAGACTTCGTAAAATTTTGGACATTTTAAGATTTTCAAAAGCGTTAGAGGTATTTATTTGAGATTTTAAATTCTTATAAAATTTTGGTATTTTACTTCTTTGAAATTGAAATTTGTTAGGACGTTTTAAAATTTATTGAGATTTTGAAAGTTTAGAGGATGTATTCGATGAGATTTGGAAGACTTTAAGATTTTAGGATTCTGTATTTAAATTGGACTTTTTATAAGTTCTAAAAGAGTTAATAGAGATTTTTTAGAGGTGTGAGCTATTTAACTTATTTAAGATTAAATTTGTTAAAAAATTTTAAGAGTTGTTGAGATTTCAATAGAAAACCCTATATGAAATGTTACTTCAAATCTCACTCACTCAAACTTATGATATCTTGGGTTCTAATATGAAATATTTGGTTATGATTAATCATATAATTTTTTTTATTCAAAATTCAATTCATATTAAACTCAACTTAATTATTTTCAATATTATCAATATGATTAAATAAAATTAATCAATCATCATCACACATCACATCAATTTTAACTAGTAATCAACCTGTGCATTTGCACAGAAAATGATACTTTAAAAATATTACAATATGAAAAAACAAACAAAACTAAATCATAATTTAATACATGAAAAAAATATGAATTAAGAAAATAAATCTAAAAATTGATTTTGATCAAGTAATTGCTATGGAACAACCGTTACAACCATTTTCTTTATGCTAATACACTCGGCCATTTTCATGAGTGAGTGTGACTTAAAATTTGAGTACAATTTTGTAATTCTCTTGATTGGTTTATGCTCATAATTTATGGCATTCAAGCAAGTTATTTGTAACTTAAAAATGAAATTGGATGCCGAAAATTTTGGAGGGAGAATAAAATTTAATGAATGATAATATAATTAAATGTTTTATTGCTCCTCTTTATATATATATATAGATTTTAGATATTTTAAGATTTTCAAAAGCGTTAGAAGTAGTTATTTGAGATTTTAAATTCTTATAAAATTTGGTATTTTACTTCTTTGAAATTGAAATTTGTTGGGACGTTTTAAAATTTATTGAGAATTCGAAAGTTTAGAGGATTTATTCGATGAGATTTGGAAGACTTTAAGATTTTAGGATTCTGTATTTAAATTAGATTTTTTATAAGTTCTAAAAGAGTGAATATATATTTTTTAGAGGTGTGAGCTATTTAACTTATTTGAGATTAAATTTGTTATAAGATTTTAAGAGTTGTTGAGATTTCAATAGAAAACCCTAAATAAAATCTTACTTCAAATCTCACTCACTCAAACTTATGATAACTTGGGTTCTAATATAAAATATTTGGTTATGATTAATCATATAATTTTTTTTTTATTCAAAATTCAATTCATATTTTACTCAACTTAATTATTTTAATATTATCAATATGATTAAATAAAATTAATCAATCATCCTCATACATCACATCAATTTTAATTCACTATTCACCACTTGTATAATTTTAACTACTAATTACCTCTTTTATTTTTAAATTATATCTACTTTAATTATTATTATTTTTAATATTACATGGTACAAACTGAAAATTTCACTTAAATCAAATCCAATCATCTTTTTTTTTTTTCTCAAATAATTTATTTTATTCATTGAATCTGAATAAGTGCCATATAATTTATATCTAATCAGCTCTTAGAATTCCTTTTACATTTAAAAATTTTAAAAAAATTATAATCTCAAATAGTTTAGATTGTTAATAAAAAGTCAACCCCTTTAAAATTTCATAGGTTTCTCCTAAATTCAAAAATCTTAAATTCCTTTCAAAATTTTATAAAATCACTCCAATATCCAAATTAATACACTGTTAATTTTATATTTTATTTATGACATGATTGGTATAATGGAATGAAATTTGATAGAAATGGAATGAGTTGAAGAATGAAATGAATATGAGAAATGAATGAAAAACCTTTTCCATTGATGTGTTTGGTATGCATGAGGAATAAGACATGAATGGAAATGGCATTATTATTATATATTATCCTTTATCACTATTTTACTATTTTATAGAAAAAAATAATATCTATATTAATGTTACTTTTTTTATGATAATAATAAATTAATAATAAATTGTAATAAAAATATACTTTATTTAATATATTTTTATTACAAAATAATATATGATAGAATGGCATGATTGGTACAAAATAATATATTTGTTTATTATTGTTTGTTAATTTTATTTATTAAAAAATTGATTCCTACAAATATGGGAATGGGAAACCTTGCATTAGCATGCTAATCCCATGGAGATGGGTTGGAGATGGGTTGGAGATGGGTTTTGCGACTCTCATTGGGATGGTCATTTCTTTCAAAAAAAAATATAACACTCATGAGATAAGAAATGAGTAAGAAAATGATTATTCTATTCTCATATTATTTCTTGCACCAATCAGGCCATTAATGTTTGGAATGTATGGATTAGATGGACCGTTGAATTCGTATGACTATGGGGCACACTTACCTATCTATTAAAATTAATTAAAAAAAAATACAACAAACTAAAAAAAAATAAAAAAAAAATAAAAGGAAGTCCTTAACGCGTTGATTTTGACTTAACAAACTTCATGAGCTGGACACCGCACACATCACACAAATTTTGTGGCCTCGCAATGAAAAAATCGTTAGAGAATCCACTCCTTCACCCACTCAAATAATTTCCATAATCGCCACACGATGTCATCTCATATTGCATCTAAGTATCTAACCAACTCTCTTGCAAACCATAATTGTGTTTCAGGGCAATAATGGTAATTCAGAACAACCACAGATGGCTTCTTCTCCCCCCTTTTTTTCTGGGTCTCCGCCAGGCCGAGTATCTAACCCTCTTATTCAAGACGTGCGATTTGTGGATAATAATTATTTTCTTGTGGGCCCCACCGCACAATCCCCCTCGTCCAAACGCAAGGGCAGTTGTGTCGCGAGGCCAAGTTTTGGTAAAAATCCAGCCGTTAGGGTGGAGGGTTTTGACTGCCTCAATAGGGACAGGCGCAATTGCACCATCCCAACCTTTGCCTAAAAGGAGTATATATTAGAAATGAAACATTCAAAGAGAAACTTGATGACCTAACCGTCCTTTCTTTTTTCCGCTTTGTCGAAGCAAGATGAGGAGAGACTTGAGGTTTTGATCAGTTTTGGCCCTATTGTAAATAAGGAAACAT